AAAAAAAAAAAAAGAAAAGGTTCAGGCAGCTGAGAAAGGGAGGTTGCTATTAAGTTCTGGTCTTGGGACGTACAGCAGCAGCCCACACAGCCCAGCCCGGCAGCTGAGCCTGAGATTTACTCAGCTCCCTGGAAGGGGCTGGGCCTCCCCCTTGCTGACTCACAGCAGGGGTTTCGCTGGGTGCTGCTTATTTGCTTGGGGGGAACTCCCCTCTGTTTCTCGTTTGTTTATATTTCCATTGTAGACCTCTAACATCCTCCCCCCACCTCTTTCCCCACCCCCACCCAAACGTTTCTTCCTCTGGTTACCCGTCTAAAACAAGAGGACCAATTTTAATTGTGAACAGTTTGTCTGAGGATGAGCTGAACCTGCAGGCAGAGAACAATCCTGGCTTCATGAGGTGATCTCCCACAATGGATTTCTATACAGCTCCATGTGCAGCAATGCAGTCACCAGGTTTGATGGGACAGGGGCATAGCAGGGGGAGGTACACTGGAGAGCTTGATCTGGAAGAAGGATCCTGGCCCCCCACCTTCTGATGTACCCTCAGGGTAGTCATTCTTTAGACCTTCAGGGAGCTCTTTGGAATGCATCTACATCTGCAGCAACCAGACTTGCTTCTGTTTAAAGGCTCCTTTTAGGAAATGGGAGGTTTGTCACTTTTCCCCCACCTTGGATGCACTTTTAGAATGAAATAGGGAGGCAGGCCCTTTACACCAGAACCCTTGGGGTTGGGGCCCATGGATCAGTGATTTCAAATATCCCCCAGTGTTTCCAGTGACCACACAAGGTTGAGAATCCCTATGCCCATGTGGAGGATGCTTCTCACGCTTTAGTAGGTTCTTGTTAGAATGTGAATTCTAATGTAGAAGGTCTTTATGCCACGTTTCCAAGTGACACCACACTATTGGGCCTTGAGCCACACGTATTTTAGAATGATGTCTTGCTTTTCTTCTCTTTCTAAAAACTCGTGAAACCTGTTCACCACACCACCACAACATGCAAGAGACTGTGGATAACTGTGTGGTGGGTGTACATGCAGTGCATTGGAGCTGGGGGTGGGGGCTCAAGAAACAAACTAGTTCCTCCTCACTTTCTCATGGAGGTGATGGAAAAGGGGGTGTTTTCAAACCCAGGGACAAGGGAACAACAAATGACCTAAAATCAATGGCAAGGAGGGTGTAGGATGCCTGGTAGGGCTTGATCAAGGGCATTGTAACTGAGAGGAATTACTGAAACCTGAATGAAGGCCAAACATGATTGTGGGACAAGAGGAAAGTAAAAGAAAATAGAGGAAAGAACTAGGAGGCAAAGGTCATTTATGGATGTCTAAATACAGATGTGTACATATGTAAATATATTTATATATAATGATAGAGAAATAGATCTATGTGTGTGTGTGTTAAGTATCAAGATAGCAGACAGACATTGGGCCTCTACTCAAGTACTATCTCAACACAAGAACACTTTGTTCTAATAACCTGGTGTGTTAGTCCGGGTAGACTAGAGAAACAAACTCATAAACACAAGTGTATAAAGAAAGTTTTATAGAAAGGGTAATTGTACATTAAGAAAGCATCTCAGCCCAGTCCAGTCCAGTCCAGTCCAAGCCCATAAGTCTGATATTAGCCAATACAAATCTAGAAATTCCTCTTCAGACTCACAAAACACATGCGATGACGCCAAATGCAGGACGATCACAGGTCAGTGGGTAGAAAGTCTTTGGATCCAGTGGCGTTGTAAGCATCTCAGTGCTGGCAGGGGTCTCCATGTGGCTTCGCCATCTTCAGAGGTCTGGTTGCATCAGAGTAGGTCCATGTGGCTTCTCCAGTTCAGGGCACTAGTGTAGTTCCACGTGTCTTGTCAGCTGCAATGTCTCCCAAGGAGTCAGCCTTGTCAGCAGAGAGAGGTGCCTCCAGCCTTTAAGGAGGACAAACCAGACTTCCCAGAATTCTCAGGAGAAGGCCATGCCCACACAAAGGTCTCATGGACTATGACCCGATTAACAGACTAGACTCCACCCCTTCACTTTTAATCCTCTTAAGTCCCAAATTGACACCAGATTATTTAACTACCACACCTGGCATTCTGTGATGCTCACCTTCCCTATATAATCACTAAAGACACAATGGGTGCATAGTAAATGTGGTGAAGAAAGCTAATGGTTCCTGGATAGCAAATGATATAGCATCTGGGGTCTTAAAGGCTTGAAGATTAACAAGTGGCCATCTAGTGGAAAAGCAACAAAGTCCACATGGAAGAAACACACCAAGCTGTGTGATCATGAGGTGTCTATGGGATTAGGTATCAGCCATCAAAGACCCAGATCAGAAAATCATATCAATGTGAATGAGGGGAATGTAGAGTGAAGACCTACAGCCCATCTGTAGACAATTGGACATCCCCTTACAGAAGGGTCACAAGGAAGGGACAAGCCAGTTAGGGTGCAGTACAGCACCAATGAAATATACAATTCCTTCTAGTTCTTTAATGCTTCCTCTCCCCCACTATCATGACTCCAATTCTACCTTACAATTCTGACTAGACCAGAGCATGTACACTGGTACAGATAAGAGCTGTAAACATGGGGAATTCAGGACAGATAAACCATTCAGGACCAATAATGAGAGTAACAATACCAGGAGGGCAAGGGTAAGGTCAGGGGAGAAAGGGAGAACGGATCACAATGATCTATATATAACCCCCTCCCAGGGGGATGGACAACAGAAAAGTGGGTGAAGGGAGATCTCAGTCAGTGTAAGACATGAAAAAATTATAATTTACAAATTATCAAGGGTTCATGAGAGAGGGAGGGTTGGGGAGGGAGGGGAAAAATGAGGAGCTGATACCAAGGGCTCAAGTAGAAAGCAAATGTTTTGAAAATGATGAAGGCAACATATGTACAAAGGTGCTTGACACATGGATGTATGTATGGATTGTGATAAGAGATGTGTGAGCCCCCAATAAAACTTTTTTTTAAAGAAGACAAGGGGGTGTTTTTGTTGTTGTTGCTGTTATTTTGTGGTTTGGTTTTTTTTTGTTGTTGCTTGTTTTTTTGACATTCACCTGCTCTTAATCAAATATACCAGAAAATTTATTTTTGGAAATGTCCTTTAATTAAGAAAAGCATTGTCTGGTCTAATTATTGTTATCTCTTGTAAGTCCTGATCATACTCTGCAAGAGAGCGTAAGCCAACATCTCTCTCATTACAATTATTCATGTAATTTTCAAATTTCTGAAAAAAAAAAAAAAAAAGGCCAAGCTCTCCTATCCCCTCAAGTGTTATAGCCAGAGCACCTGTTAGATGGGACAGCTGCCAGATCTTTCCCCATTTTCTCCACCTGGAAAACTCAGCCGCAGATTCCTGACAGAACTGAAATGTTTTTCCATTTGAGATTTTCTGTTGCCTTGCTTCACTGACTCCAGGATGAATTTAGTTCATCTGTGCTCTGTGTAGGGACTCCGCCGTAAGATGTCTTGCCATTGCTGTCTGTCTGTTGTTGTACTGGCCCCAACTCATGACCACCCCACACACAACCGAAGAAAATGCTTCCCAGCTCGGTGTTGTTTCCCTGATAGGTTGTAGATCAGACTGCTGTGATCGTACCATTTTAACTGGTTGATGTTCAGAAACCAGATCGCCAAGTGTTCTTTCTAGATCGTTCTGGTGTATCTTAGTCTGCCAGCTCTGCTGACACCTGTTGACCACCACCACAACACCCATGTGTCCACCGATAGAGGCGTGGTGGCTTTGCATGAGGTCCATCGGAGCCAGGTCTCCTGTACATAAAAGGTGAGAATTCTATCACTGTCCCACTGCTGCCCCACTGAAGGATCTACCACATTGGATCTAAGTCTTCGTCTGGTTTCTTCATACGACTTCCTTCTCCTTGAATGGAGGATTGGGTCTCTTTCTTTTAGGTATGCACTTTCTTATACTCACTCTCAAAACTCACTGTCATTGAATCAATGCTGACTCATAGTGACCCCCTGTGGGTCCCTGAGACTATAATTGTTTATGGGAGTAGTAATCCAGTTTTTGTCCTGCAGAGCTGCTGGTGGTTTTGAACTGCCAACCATAGGGATCACAGCCCAACTCGTAACCACTATACCACCAGGGCTCTGTACAATATTCACTCAAGCAATGAACAACAAATTCTGTCATTGATGATGAACCTGGGAAGGGATTTCATCGATAAGATTTTACTCTGCAACTTCTATATCCAGATAGAGAGAAGACTACCCAAGCAGTAGACAGCCCGATGGAAGCTACTGAAAGTGGCAGTCCCCTTAGCTAGTCTGGACTCCCGAGTTTGCTTTTTCTTTTTCTTTGTTTCTTCTGTGACTTCCGTTGCTGCTTCTCATCTGGATGGCCTACTACTTTGGGTCATTGTAAACTGAAGCTACTCTGCAATCTCACAGGGATGCTTCCTGAGGCCCTTGGAGGAGGACAGGAAAGCCTATATAACAGTCAGCTAACTGTTGAAATAAGTGGTTACTGTGTACATAAAACACTTCACCCTTTGCATTTCATTATGTCAGAACAATGTATAAATCTGTCATATTATATCACAGCATTAAACTTAGGAATGTTCTGTCTCTTGCTGGGAATTAAACTCATTCTCAAATTATTCTGGAAGTATTGGATTTAACGAGCGTGTTCACCAAAGGTCTCCAAGCTCTGAGACCAAGGTAATAATTCCCTGGGTCATCAGAAATGCAAGAAACCCTGGAG